AGAAGGAGGGTCAAAGGTCAGCACACCAGGAGGGTAGAACAAATAAATATCCTATGTGATCCTATTATTTAGAGTAATAACTTCTGTAAATGTTCATATAAATGCGATGATGGGGGGGAAAGTGGAGGAGAATATTATAGAGTGGAGGAGAATATTAAAGCGGAAAAAAGTCATCCCACACTGACGTCAAGCAGCAGAATGGGTCAAACCTGTGACCTGGCTATATTTATACATGCACTCACTAAAATATTTAACATTTTCAGGTGTATCCAGGAGATGGAGGAGCATGAATTTTAATTACATATGAATAATGTAGTCACAATCTGTTTCTCTTTATAGCACACACTTAATGCACAATCCCTATTTTTTCAACTCATTAGGTGGCAACACATATTACAATCACCGCAGGCTGACAGTAATCACCAAGAGCAAGAGCTGTTCATTAAAAAGAAAGCAACTGTTAGTACCTGCTAGTATTTCACGTTTGTATTAAAACGGAACCTGTGATAGAAAACCTCTGATCTCAATCAGTTATCATCTATTTAAGTAACTGAGCTTTTAGAGCAAGTCCACATAAGCTGCAATGAGAGAAAGAACAAAAAGGACTTTAGCAGGTGTGAAGATAAGGGGACAAGAATAACCTTCACAATTCGATTTTGATGCTTTTCATTGAAAAAAAAGCCTTTTTGTGGACTCTTCATACCTTCTGAAGAGTGAACTACATTAAGTCATGTTGAAGTTTTATGTGACAACATAATGCAGAGTTGCCTGGGTTGAGGTCGGGTACTAAAGGTTCCTGCCTGGTAATTCAACACTCAAGTCTAATCTTTCCTGAGGATAAAATTCATTCATTCATTCATTCTCACAAAGAGTGAAAAAGCTTACTTCCCTATTGCTGTTATTGTATACTTTTCTGCTGTTACAAATGTTTGCCTTGATTTGCCCTCGATGTTTTCCAATTCTAAAAACTTGTGACTTGTTTATGTTTATGTGCACCAAATCCTGTTATCATGTGGCCTAGACAACTTCAAAGATTGGTTTATCTGGTCATTTTAACATTAGTGGGTTTTTACCCCTTTGATGGCTTTGAAATTTCTTCATCACAACTATCAGGAATTTATCAGACTATCATTTACTATTCCATTTACTCATTTTTGTTTTTTAATTAACAAAAATAAAAACATTTTGCTATTTAAATTGAAATTGAAGCCGAAATATGAGTGGGGTATAAACTAGCATTTAAGTCTTTTTCATGCTTTTCATATGTGGATGCTTTTTTTCTTTCAGAAATAACAGTCATAAATGTTCATAGCTCTTTGAAGAATACGAAGTCTGCAGACCACTGACATGACAAAAGCTTTACTATCATCTTTGGGCTTCAAATCAGCAGGTTTCAGCTGATCTTTGTTACTGGGGATTTCTTCCTTCAATCTTCTTTTCATCTAGAAAAAAAAGGCTCAACAGGCTTTAAATCTGGTGACTGGCTTGGCTGTCACTGATAAAGCGTTGGCTGCACAGGCAATGTGCTTAATGCCACTGTATTTTTGGAAGGCCTGTTAAATGAGACAGGGGAATTGCTTCATGCATAGACAAACTAAATGTTTGTGTATACTTTTGAAATGATTCTATTATAGCAGGGATGGACAATTAATTTTCCCAAGGGTCCACAGGAGAAACTGGGACTGTCGTGGAGGACTTCACCAACAAGCTTATAAAGAGATCAAATTAATACTAAGCAGAACTGAGTTCAGCTTGTTAAAATCAATTGCCCATCCCTGTTTTACTGCCACACAGAACATGCCCATAACATTTTATTAGCTCCTTCATATTTGATGAGGTTTGAATCACATGTATTCTTCAGTCTTTCTTTCACTTTCACTTTGAGAAATTTTGGTTTCATTAGTTCATTAAACATTTGCTCCAAACATGCATAATTCCAATCTAGTGGTATGCCATAAGAGGTATGAATCTCTGTTATTCCCTGCAGTAAGTTTTCTTTGAACTGCAGATTGTGATGCTATCCACTCTCAAACTGTTGGTGATATCAGTGATGGTTAAAGGGTTGTTGTTGTTTTTTTTTACAGCTCTCCAGATTTTTCTGTTATCAGCTGCAGTTTTTCTCCGTAGAGGGATCTGCCCTGTGTTCACTTGTTTTGTTTTGTTTTCTATAAAATTGTCCACAATGCTGTGCTAAATAGATCAATTTCCTCTGCTATCATTCCCAGTGACTGTTATTCCTCCTTATCAAAGAGGTGTCTTTTTTTGTCCTAGTCAGTTTTCCAGGTCTTTATGTCTAAGCCCTATAGAGCCACTAAATCCATTTTCAACTGAAGAAAAGCCTGAGAAAAAAAGACTGGATAGCCACTACACTTCTGTGCACTACAAACAAAGAAAATGCAAAAAATGAAACATCTCACAATCATTACTGGCATAACTTAACTAACTTAACTAACTAATAACTAACTGCTGTACAACTGAAAGTGGAGCAATGAATGCACTTTTTTCTGTGAAACAGTAAAGTACACAAACGAATTATCATAGTTGCTGTTTTTATCCAAATATTTCAGTTAAAATATAACAGAAGCATAATATTTTTCTTAACATACTTTTAGAGTATGTATTTCCCTTCCACCCTCCTTTCGTGGTATTTTATATTGTGAAACTGGGTTACTGGCTATTTGTGATAATGCATTATTTACTGTAACAGGCTAAGCCACACTAATTATTTCCATTATTTAATTTCTCCACAATTGAGGCTTTTGAAAAAGAATGGTGTAAGTAGTGCACTACAGACAAGCACAATAACATGTATGCAGTCCTGTTATAAATAGAAATGAGTAAAAACAGCAACCACTGATGTTAACCTACCATTGCATCATATTTGTTTAAGTAAACTCTAAATACTTTAAACACTGATTAGGTGAGAAATAAAAAAGACAACACAGGGATATTTATCTGCTCTAGCTGGTGTGAATGTCCTCAAAAATGTGAACTGGGATACACCAGTCTGAAATGGGTTTGTATATTTTTTCCTGTACAATCCAGGTGTTTGGTACAGAAGGGAGCAGGTTACAGAAAGGCAACATAGCTGTGACTCACAGAGCAAATAAGAGAATGTAAACACTCAGTGACTCGTTTAATTAATCTATGAACTCATCTTAATTAAATTATGTGTATGGTTTCTTTATATAATACAATGTGATGACGCACATGCCGACCATATTACGTTATGGTTGGCTTACAACAACGTGATGTGTGACAAATACAAGGTAAAAACCAAGACTCTTTAACCCTACACTAAAAGGGATCAAAACATTTTGGAGGAATAATGTTCCATCCATCCAGCAGAGTTTCAGAGACTTTCAGAATCAGTTCCAATGTGTGTTTGGGCTATTCTTGCAGCAGGCAGTGGTCAAACAATAAGTGCTGATACTCTATCAGGACTTCAATTTGGTTCTTATTTCATTTTAAAATTGTGTTGAAGACAATTCCTAAGCCATAATGCTTTTGTGAAACCACTACAAACCTTAAAGTCCACCTTTATGTCAGATTTTTTTTTGTGTTACTATTAGGAAAAGAGGGGGAAATGTTTTTTACCACAACATTTACAGCTCTCCTTTTTTCATGGTCTGATCACCAACTATGAGATTTGCATTCACACACGTACACACACATACACTTCTCTCTCTCTCTCTCTCCCTATGAGCTGTTGCTATAGAGACCCTAATAAAATTGTTAAACCCACTGAGATGTTTTTCCTTGCTTTGGTTTGAGTGACAAGAGCTACTGACAGAACACACATACCACTGGCCGCTGAGCAAGGCACTATAGCTAGTGTCATGTTTTTTTCATCATAATAAACAATTACAAAAGAAGAATGCACAACTGTACAGTAGCTGATGGTGCACAACAACTGTCAACCACAGTGGAAAGATTCATATCTGCAGAAAAGGCTACCATGGTGATTTACTATAATAGGCTTCATTTTATTTCTGTGGGAATGGGTGGGATCAATGTGGTCTTGCCAAAGAATGAACAAGGAAGAAAGAGGCTCTGTGTTCTAATCTGCAATTACCTATGCTCATGCATGTGTCTGGTACTGACAACTACATGCAAGTGCAATACTGTACACGAGGGATGAGATTTCATGGCATAATAGTTTAATTTAAACTCTAATTAATTTGAATTCATGTGTAATTATAAGTCAACTGAAAACAAAATTAAATGAAAGTAATCTAAAACTGAACTAAAGAACCCATGGCCTGGTGGGGATTGAATCAGGATTTTTAGAAAGGGACAAACATAAAGGAAAAGTGCTGACAGGCAAAGTGAGAAAATGCATGTAAAATAGCACATAACAGCAGTATGTTCTCTATGACCACAGTCATAGAGCACAAACGGCACCCCTTTATAACCTCTGATCATTATCATTATACTGGTGCTTTCTTTACATGAAACATGCTTACAATGTATGGTCCTAATTGCATGAGCTCTTAAAAATGAGAAGATTATCTAAGATACTTGACTTGACCCACTCAAGTCAGCATAAGAGAAAGCAATCTGCAAGACACAAGTGTTCATCAATTTATTCGTTGCGAGTAGTGGAGGCTGACAAGCAGATGGTTTATCAATTCCAGTAGAGTGGGCTGATCAATAGACACCAGACATGAGGACTGAAACTGGAACGTTATGTTTCAGCCTGATCAGTTGAGGCACCAGATGAACCAAATGTGTTGTTCAAAAGCTTGCCAAGCATCAGAGGTTAAGATCAAATTAACCTGCCTGCCACGTAGCAGTGCAGCTTCTGGGAATACATTAAGAGAGTTTTGGCTCCTTAATCATATGTGCAGACATTATTAAGACAAACCAAACCCACTGTAAGCCAGTGAGCCAGATTTGACTTTTTAAAACCACTGATGTATGATTCTTGTGTGAAAAAAAAAGTGTTTACAGGGGAGGTGACTGTATTCTGAAAGTGATGTTTTAATAAACAAACTTACTTTGACTTCTTCTTGTAGTTTTCCAAATCGAACTGTGCCACTGAGAATCCTGCTGATGAATCTCTGCTTTTCCTGCTGAAGAGATGATGCCTAGGGAGGCAGACAGGGAAGATGGCGGGTTACTGAGCTAAAAAAGGAACACAGAGGGAGGGTTAAACACACAATTGGATAAAGGAAGTGAGGGATTATGGGAGAATTGGATAAAGGAAATGAATGAAAGACGTCAAACTGTTGCCAATTTACAGAAATCCTGTGCAGCCAAATGGGTGAGGCACAAAAGCTGTCTAACTTCAGGACAGTATAACCAATCTGCAGACTTGTACTAGGTTGGATAAGGATGGATAAGAAAATACTCACTCATTATTACCTACTAAGTAACTGTGTGAATCAAGATTTCATAAAAAGTCAAAGTCAGCTAAGGCTCCCCCATGCCAGTCATTCTCAGATTATTGGTCATGACTCTTTAGAACTCCAAAAACACAAAAAGTAACCGTGAGTCTTCTTTAACTCTGCAATAATCATAGTGCTTTATAGGCAACTATGTATAAATTTAAAAATAAAATAAAATGTTTTCAGCATTTAAAACATTTCTACTGCTTACATAACATACATAATCACAATGCTTTAAAAAAAAAACCCAGATAATATATACCCAGTTATATAATGCCAGAGGTGGAAAATCAGACAGTTCGGTTCCTGTACGCCTTACACACTTTTTGGTCTGATTTATACAATTGCTTTGACTGAAAAAACCTTTACGTTATCTTCTCTGTGCGTGTACCTTGTCTGAATAATGAAAGTATACAACAGAGATATACACAGAGATATGCATACATGTGAGGATCATTTGTGAGGATCATTTTAACAATAGAAGACTGGAAAACTGCTGCCTGTCTGTGGGGTCACAATTTTGGGTAAAAAATATGGAAACATGGATCCATCCTGTCTTGTATCAAAAACAAGGTGCCAGTGGTGGAGGTGCTATAATGGTATGGGGGATATTTTCTTGACACACTTTGGGTTCCTCAGTACATCACTGGGCATAATTTAAATTCCGCACCCTGCACAAGTATTGTCGCTGACCATGTTCATCATCTCTCATCACCACACTGTACCCAGCTTCTCATGGCTGCTTCTAGCAAAATAATGCATCATGTCACAAAGTTCCAATAATCTCCAATAAACTGTTTTTTTAACATGACACTGAATCGAATGCACACTTTTGTCACCTATCGTCAGGTGCACCTCCTCCAAAAAAATTTCTTAGGGGTGGCTATATGGGAGCCACTAAAAATACTGGGCTGGCACTCCAAAAACAGAATTTCCAGTTTTATTACACTGTTATCAAATACTACTTGAAAAATATGGCAAAAAAGAGAGAAAGAATAGTATTATATGGCTAGTTAATTTTCTGCTATTAAATTATTACATTTGCTATCTCTGAAAACAGGTGCATGTGAAAACCAAATAAGATTTTGGAATCATTAATAATTCAGTTTTAATTGATCAGTTGACTGATTATCTGGAAGTCCTAACCATCAATTTAATGATTCTCAGCAGAGCTGAGGAGAAGGAGCTTAAGATTCTTTCTCCTAGAATGGAGTTAATTTTAAGAGCAAACTTGTTCAGGAAATACAAATAAGCATTAGATAATGTCAGTGAATGTGAGTGTGAGTGGTTGCCTGTCTATGTTGGCCCTGAGATGTACCAGTAATCTATCCAGGGACTGGTCCCAGGTTTTCTGCAACCTTATGACATTATTACCAACAAATTTTGAGGGGTAGCCAGTCTGATTTGCATCTGCCAGCAGTTTTTGGGTGCCTATTAGTTTTTCTGTGACTATTTTTAAAATCCAAAATCCTACCTGCCTCCAGACCTGTTGCAACCCTTATGAAATACCTTTACACCTTAACTACTGAATTTTGTTGTCATTTCGGATCAATTGTCTGTAAACAGCAACCAAAGCTGGCATTACTACAAACAGCTTAATTAGTAAGTGAATGAATTGATACTTAATATTCAGTATATTTAGACCTTTTTTTTTTTATCAAAGGAAAGTTTCAAGACCCTCATGTTTGTGCATCTATTCAGTGTCACATGTGGTACAAAATCTTTTTACAGTAGCATCAGTAGTACCATGTGTAATAGTTGGTCTCTCTCCTGGGAAATGTGTTCTGCCACAGAAATGACAGCTCCCAGGTAGTGCCGTGTCTTTTCCTCCTTTAACACACACTCTTCCTTTTGTTGCTTCAACATACTCATTCTTCTTTCAGCCTTCCTAATTGATGGAAAGATAGGCGAGTGAGGAAGGGAATTGATTAAAGAGTATTAAAAGAGGACCAAAAACACAGAAAAGAGAGAAAGAGAAAGTATGGGGGCACGAGAATGGAGTGCAAAAGGGAGGTTTGGTGAAAACATGGTAAAGAAAAATAAGCAGGGGTTAAGAAAAGGGAAAGCAGCAGATAGAAGGGTTGAATAAGAAGAAGGACAATAGGTTAGCTGGATGATACTTGAGATCATGCCATCTGCACAAGGTGGGGGGAAATGTTGGTTATTAAACACCTTTTGACAGACTTCACACTTCATATTGAAAGAGTTCACATTAATCTCAGCACAAATCTACTGGGAAACGAAGGCTCCAGACCAGAACATATTTAAGTACAGCTGCAATCCCTTGCAATCCCTACAGTTAATTAATTATAATTATACTAGGTGTCAAAACATTAGACAAACAGGACAAAAGAATGAATCACCAGCTACAATGTTGGACAGAAATCTAGAAAAGAAAAAAATAAATTAATAATAATTAAATTAATAAAGTGATTATATGAAAATAGAAAGTTCTCCTGTCTCCCATCAGACGAGCTTGTTGGCACTGATCCTCACATAGGATATGAACCACATTTTCCCACATGAAAGTCATGTGCATAACACTTACTAAGTGGACTTCTTCCATATTACTTTATATAGGTTGGATTTTTTTATTTAAAAAAACCTTAACACAGAGCTCAGTGGATGTGCAGGAGTCTAGCACATTATCAGACTGCTTCAATTTCAAGTTATCATGAGTGTTTGTTTTTTTAAAAGCAAGCTGTCCCAATTATAAACAATAAATAGTTTACACTGATTTTACTCTTGTTAAACATCCATGTACCAGTTTTTATGGCAGTTTGTTTCTCAACATATCCAGATGCTGCATATTCTTTGCACAAAAGTATTTTAATATATTGAAAATGGAATTGGTTCCACATGCTGTTATAGTAATCATAACATTCTTTTGTTTTAATGGCTCAAGCAATGCTGAAAACCTTCCAAGAACTGTGTCTCACTGCTGTATACCAGGTTTCATGTATGTGATAACAGCAAACAAAGAACACTAAATATTTACTACCTGTTGGATTGCCTGGAGAGCTCCAGCTCAGCCTCCATTGTCCTTGTTTTTGCAGTTAGCTGGGCTTTGTCCAGAGCTAGAATCCTGTTCTCCTCCTGGAGGTTAGATACTCTCAGAAGCAGTTTGTCAATTTCACCCTTACTTCTGCTCTCATGCTGCTCCAGTTGTCTGAGAGTGAAGAGAAGAGTTCATAGAATTATGTCACAGCACGTGTCACAATCTGCAATTAAAACTCCAAAATGTAGCCTACTGATATTTGTTTTAAATGTGATAGTCCTGTTATTTCATGCTTATGCAATTTATTTTTGATTCATTTGTGTAAACATGAGTTGTATTTTAAATCCCAGGGGCTATGACAATACCTGACCACGTACATTTATTCATTAAATCCCATTTGACTTTTCTGTTGCACTTAAAACTGCAGTGCTTCAGGTGCTACTCTTGTTGTAGTTCTTGTTTTGTCTACTTATCTGTGCTACAAATCAACTGAAATAATAATAAACAAAGCTTTCTCAACACCCTTACCCAACATAGAGCAAGAATGGTCAATGCTTGTGAAGATAAATTGTTCAGTCTACAGTTTCTTGTTTTCTCTTTGAAATAACAGAGCACCTTTAATACTTAAGTATTCAGTTTTGTTTAATAACGTGAGATTAGAAGGGTACCTTCTCAGTTTTCCAGCAATGCTGCAGTGTTCGTCCCAGGTGACTGCATCCTTTATGCGGGCCTGCAGAACTTGAAGCTCCTTCTTATTTTTCTGCACTTCCCTCCTGCTTTCTTCCAGGTCCCCTTCCAAACGCTGGTTTTCCACTTCTAATAACATCAGTTTCTTAGACACTTTTGCCACTAAAGAAACAAGGAAGAGATAAGAAAAAAAGAGAGTATTAAACAGAAGAAAATGAATAAAAAGGAAAATAAAAAAACGAAATAGGGAAGCGAGCCCAGTAAATGTACATTAGGCTAAATGCCTTTAGTGCTCAAAATGTATTTTCATGTTTTCTCCTTGTATGTCACTTGAGTCTTTTTGAGTAATCTTTTCTGAATTTAACATGTTTACAAAAAAGGCCGTGAAATTGCGAGTGTGTACGTTTTTAAGTTGCATATTCTTGAGGTGGGGCTTACCCGAAATGGAAAATGAAGATTTGTTAACGTTGTGAAAGACTTTTAAAAAGTGATCTTTCCCTATGTTTAACAATGGGTCTTTGTGTTTCTTTGTTGGCTAGATCACGGGGCCAACAGAAAGGAAAGTATGTATTATGAAACCAAAAATAATATGGAAAAAACCTTAGGTATCACCCAGTAGGTGAAAACAACTCCAAATGAAGTTTAATGGTATCCTATTTATACAAATGCGTTGAGCATCAACACGTATGACTACTACTCAATAAATCACATCCATATTAGTCTGAGACACACGACGAGATGTATATTCTTAGGGCGGGGCTCATTCTGGCAACGATTTGTTACATTGTTAATGTTGTGAAAGGCTCTTTTAAACAAGCTTTTGCTTTTTTAAAGCTTTTCCTTTCCTATGTCTAACAATGCATCTTTGTGTTAGCTAGGTCAAAGAGCCAACAAAAATGAAAGTTTGCATTATATACCTGAATCCAAAAAGAAACATCTACTGCGTTAACGTTCGAATCTACGACCTTCAAAGGGACACGGCCAACACCAAAAGTAGACATTTAGACTTTTTCTGCGTATTCTGTGTTATATTCTGTATTTCCTCATTTATCCCCATCAAAAAAGACCTAAAAACATTTTTTTAAACAAAAAAAACAGACGTAATTCTGAAATGCATGCATCATTTTAAAGATTTTAGTGTAAATGCTTGTGGAAGAATTTATTTCATCTTTTTAATTTTTTTTTAGGTCTTTCAGTGTTTTAGAAAATACCTTCAGTGTTATGTCTGCTGTGAGTGGCCTTGGCCTCAGCATGTTGCTCCTCGAGTTGATTGATGAGATCCTGGTTCTCCTGCAAAACCAGAACGGCCTGTTGTTGAATTTGATAACTGCAGAAAGAAAGAAAGCAGGAGAGTGAGAGATTATCAATGCTAAATCAGCACATCACAAAACTTGCTAATTTAACAAACAGACACAAAAATACTATAAATAGCTTTGCTACATGCTACATTAGCCTTTACAGAGATTAAGCTATCTTTCCAAGAAACAAATCTTACATAAATTCTGTAATCCTTGTAAGATAACATATACTTTTCTACTCCTGCAAGTTAGTCTTTCTAAGAAGAAACATATTAACAACTTGATGAGTCTACTGAATACAAATAAATGAGTTAATATGATTGCCTACAAGTGTTGGCCTTTGAATGAATTGGACATCTAGTATCATGAAGTATTTATACTTTTCACAAGAGCACTTGAAATAAAGACTAAGTCTATACGTATACAAATGTACTGAGCATCAACATGTATTCCTAGTACTTAAGTAATCCCTTATATATTAGATTGAGATACATGAAGAGGTTAACAACTCTAAAATCCCTGATAGTTTACATAAAGGCAGTGCAATTATCTAACTTCTCAGAGTTAGTTTCAGTCAGTGTCAGCAGCATTCTATGCTAGAATGATTATGAAAGACAGAATACCAGCAGCAGGGGTGTACCAAAGGAAACAAAGGTTTAGCTTCTTTCATTTTCTTAATTGCATCTATCATCTAGCAATGGATAAAGAAAAAAGACATTTAATTTTCATTACAAGATCAGATGAATGAATGATGACGGCAAATCAAGTTCATACAGTGTTGAAATAACCCACATACACAAAGCCGTGCATTTTTTCTTACCAGTCTTTCTGATTGACCGCTCCGGTCGTGGTAATTTCATCATGGAGTTTCTCATTTTCTTTAATGACTTCCTCTAATTGAAAATGCAACTTTTTCATGTTTTCCTGTAGCAGACAAATACACAAAAACCAATGATTTCAAGGCCATAAAGAAAAACACAAAATAAATGCATCTTCTGCTCTACTACCACCTCTAAGCCAAGGCTTAAAGGTCCCCCTGGGGAGATACCATCCTTCACTGAGACTGCCTGAGCACACCAGCTGTCCTGTTAGTGTTATACCCACTAAGTCTGGTCTCACCTCCCCCTGTGAAACTGTTCCAAGTCCTTTTATGCTGGAACTGGATCGCCTCAGGACACAGAAACCTGCTCAATCGCAACCATTTGCAGCATATTAAACAGAATGTTTTTACTTTTTACTTGTTTATTAATTCCAAAGGAAGGATGTATTATATAGCTACCTTTAAAAGACCCAAATATTTATTAAAAAGACAATAATTACCACTAGAACAAAATATGATTTGTTTTGACTTCTGTTGTTTGCATGACTAAATGTTTACCTCATCTAATAAGATCCTGGGAGCACCTTGACTAATGCATTCTATCTACTGAGTTTGCTGTGGGTTTTCAACCCATGAACCACATAAATACAAGTTGGCACATCAAATAGTACTTAACAACCCCCACCTCTGAAATAACCTCACCAATTCTCCAAAAAGAAAATATGAAAGATGATTCATTAAAACTCACACAAATTTCACCACTTTACCTCAGTGGTTTGCAGAATGGCATCTTTCTCATTCATTCTGTCTTCATAAGCCAGCAGTAGAGGAGATAAATACTTCATGTCGACCTACATAAAACGGACAAAGAGAAATAGTTTAAACTAGATATAACATGAGTGCCATGAATCTTTTGCCTTGCTAGAGATTACGCCACACAGGAAAAGTTTGTTTTCAATCAGACAGTGACAGTAATAATACCTGGTGCAAATGGGCTTTATGATCTTGTTAGGGTGGACAGATACTGGACAATGTGGCATTCAGATATACTCATTTAAGAGAAAATGCCCAGTCTCTTACCTGTGCAAATTTTAGCGAGCTTTGGTTGTGATTAACCGTGCTACCAGACCAACTGTCAGCAGACTGAAAATCTGCAATTTCACATTTTTCTTCAATTTCATGGGATACTGAAAAAATCAACCATAGTAATCGATTGACCAGTCAATTTATTTTACGAAATGACTTGCCTATTAGATTAGCCAGTGTTACGGATTCAAATATTGGGGATGGATACAAGAGGAAAAACCACAATAACAACACTGGTCCGGCCGGGTTGAGTCAAACGATGATTTTAATGATCACACGCGTGGGAGATGGACACCGTACGCAGACAGCATCTGATCTCAAAATGGTGGAGCATTGATCAAACTCTTATAGCCTCTAGTGGCCCCCACCTTATCATAAAAGCCTAAACATTCACATGCTTTCTCTCACACAGCGCCTAAGCTACGACCTTGGCTCCCTGTTTATCTGCTCCTGCTGAGATGGGGCAGAAAACTCCAGCATGTTCTGTTCTCTTCTAATCAGACAAATAAGGCGATGACTTTCTGCGAACAGTATTTCTTATAACTCAGCAGTATAATGCATCATAAAACAATATCATTCATTCACAATAAATCAGCAGTCTAATGTAATGCAAATCAGTTTAACAAAATGCAATAGTTACCACCTTCTTCTAATTCAGGAGAATAATGCAAACTAAAACTACATAATAATTCACAATCTTTAATTAGGGGTCTAACATGGCATAAAATAATATTATAATCTCACACTAGCGACACTATATTTATTGATTAGTGACATCAGATTATTAACTTGCTAAAAGGTCAGCCTACAGTCAAGCCAGAAATGTACTGTAGTGTTATATATTTATACTTACCAGCCATGGAGGAGGAGACCCCGTGTTTGGTAAGCCACTGACTTTGGAGTGCTAGATGAGTAAGGAGTGACATAGAAAGAAAGAAAATGAAGTTGGGCTTTTATCCCATCACTACAGTTTAGTCCTTTACATGGATAAGTTGAATATATCAGAATGGGCCAATAGAGTGTTGGAATCTAGTGTAGCATCAATAACTGCACAAGAGTAGTTACTCTGACTAAGAGCTAAGCTGCTCCAATAGAGGGATGGAACACCATTCTTCCAAAGATATCCCTTTATTTGGTGTTTTAAAGATGGACCTGTTTCCATGACACTCTAAAATTTAATTTAGGTGTTCATTTGGCTCATACACATCAAATCATTGAGTGTTGCCTCATGCCCTTTGAATGGTGGCAATGTCTTGCTGGAAGAACACTCATCAGTTAGGACATGTTATAGGATAAAGATAATCAATCAGAGCAACTTTGTATTGATCTGTACTGATCCTATGAACTTTTAACTTACCAGCAAAATGCCTCCTACAGCAAAAAAGAGGAGACCCACTCAAGGTTTGCTATAGATAATTTAATATGGAAGCAGATCCTTTTAACTGAACCAATTAAACTGATTATGACTCATCCAATCTCTTATAGCTGTGTTACTTCACTGTAAAATGCATTTTCCTTTATCTCTTTCTTTCCAGCCACACTTCACTTGTTAGTAATGAGCCTTTGCAGAGACATGCAGCCACAGAGGCAGTGATGAGAGCAGGAGATCCCCTGGTGTGAAAACACAGCATGAGGTAGTCATGATTAAAACCAAAGGCTGGCTTTCTCCTGCAGCGCTAAACCTACAATAATCTGGACAGACTGTACCAGAGAGACCGCCACAGACAGTAACAAAAAACTCTTTTGGTTCAACAAATCAGAGGGAAGGACTGACAAAAATAAAACCTTACTTCACTCAGCAGGGTTTTGGATCAAAGGTGGATGTGTATCTTAAAAGCTCAGTTATGAAGCTTTGAAAATAAGGAGATGTACTGCCATTAGATTTTCTACAGAATCTAAGAAAATAAGTCTAAGAGTAAATGAAGATAATACAGGAGAACACTGTTAGAGTGAATTGTTAAATGTTGTCATTTTTATGCTTACCATCTCTACATTGTTTTAACTCTGTTAAGAAAGGAATTCTTTTATCCCCCTCCCCAACCTCTCGAGGTTCTGGGGGGGATGTAGTGTTTTTTTGCAGATACATCCTATCTGGAAGATCTGTTTCTTGTGATGTTGCTTCCTGCTTTTATGACCCTTTTGGTCAGCAGGAGGCCACACACACACACACACACACACACACACACACACACACACACACACACACACACACACACATTCTCACATGCATACAGATGTTTACACATACACACG